TTTTTTTTTTTTTACTCCTTACGAAAAGTGAGAATCCTGCTCGCTAATACATCTGCAAGACATCACCCTCTCCTCCTGAAACTTTAGTCACTCCTGAGAATCCACAGGAGTGCAGAGAGGGGGGAACACGTTTGCTTGAAGATGTTTTAAAGCTGGAACAAGCCTTCTTCTGTTGGTGCTTGAACTCTTGCCGGGGAATAACTCCTTTAACCTTTTTTTTTTTTTTAAACCCACTTTGATACTTCTCTCCCACCCCTTCTTCTCTCTTCTTCTGTTTGCCTAACTCCCCCGCCCTGCTGGCCTCCCCTTTCCTCTCTCCCCCTTATTATTATTTTTAGTGTGTGCGTGTGGATGCTTTTTGAGAGTTGGAAGGGATTTTTTTTTTTTTTACTCCTGACTTAAACATAGGGTAACTTTTTAAATTTTATTTTTTGGTGTGGATTATCTCTTTGGATCGCGCCGGACTTGGCTTCAGGAAAGCAACTAAGGCTGCAGGAGGCTGCGGGTGCAGAACGCTCTGCTCTGCTGAAAGGGGTCCCCCGCCCTCTTTTCCTTTTTTTTTTTTTTTCTTTTCGCCCTCCCTTCCTTTCTCTCTCTCTCTCTCTCTCTCTCTCTCTCTCTCTCTCTCTCTCTCTCTCTCCACTCCCCCCTCTTTCTTCCCCACTCGGCTCCTCTCCCCCCTCTCGCCCACAGCGTTTGGTGTTGATTCGAGCGGGAAGAGGGGGGTGGGTGGGATTGGAGGGGGAGACCATGACCTCCAGCTACGGGCACGTTCTGGAGCGGCAACCGGCGCTGGGCGGCCGCTTGGACAGCCCGGGCAACCTCGACACCCTGCAGGCGAAAAAGAACTTCTCCGTCAGTCACCTGCTAGACCTGGAGGAAGCCGGGGACATGGTCGCAGCCCAGGCGGACGAAAGCGTGGGCGAGGCGGGCAGGAGCCTGCTGGAGTCGCCGGGACTCACCAGTGGCAGCGACACCCCGCAGCAGGACAGTGAGTGAGGGGCGCGAGCCCAGGGAAGTGTGTGCCGGGGATCGAGGGCGGAGGCCCAGGTAGGGAGGCGGGAGCGCGCCCATGACCAGGGGAAGGAGGTCCGGGTTTTCTAGGAGAGGTGGTGGCAGCCGCCCGAGAAATGGCCGGTCAGCATATAGGGCGCAAGGGGCGAGGAAAAGAGGCTCCGCGGAGGGCGTAGCCGAGGCAGTCGGGGAAAGGCTCCGTGGCCGGGAACGCTCGGAGGCCTTGCGGTCTGGGGCAGGGACTCTGACCGCCAGGGACTTCCTTAAGCCCTCAGTCCCGGGCGAGCGCCGCTGCCACGACATCCGGCAGGCGGGGCGAACGGACTGGGCTCGGGAAGGGTCCTGCTGGGGCGCAGCCTGGAAAGCCAGCTGTGTCTGAGCACAGCAGCGGGTTAAGCTGCTGAGTGGGGTCGGGAAGGCTTCTCCCGGGTAGGTTGGAGTGCCCGGTGCGCAGGAGCCCCACTGCCGCTGCGCAGGCTGCCCACCCTGAGCGGGCACCCAAGGCCTGGCAAGCCGCGAGCAGCGCGGGTACGCCCGCCCTCAGTCCCTCCGGCTGCTCTCTGTCCCCTTCTTTCGCCTCCACCTGCTGATGGGTTTGAGACTTAGAAATCCGGTTGATTTGGGTAAAGTCAAGCGAAGCAAAGGGAATGTGCTTTAGAAGTAAATCTGAGATCCCCGTCCGGAATGATTCCGCACAAGAGGGAGACACCAGGAATCGCGGGCTTCATTGCTGAAGCTGGTGTCACGTTTGAGTAGCTCTATCTGTTGGCCTCTAACCCTCCAGAAAAGCCTACGCTTAAGTGCCCGTCCCCATCCTCACCGACTGATATGGCCCCCCTCCCCACCACCATGAAAAGCTCGCCTGGCATTAGCTTTGTCTCTAAAACGTAACTCCAAGTGTATTCCATCCTCCCTGAGTCTGTAACAGACCTGTCACTTGGCTCATTCCAGGTGACATAGGCCGAGATATGCTCAGATACTACCTCTCTCCTCCATCTTGCCAGTCAGAAGGGGCTGGAAGTTCTGAAATGATTCATTTCCACACCATTATTTGCTAATAGCTGTTTTTTGAAGTTTGGAACCTGTGGGTGCCTGCTACTATTCTAAGATTCTCACAAACATTATCCATCTCTGACTTTCAGAAAATAGACATGTAAAGCAAACTGTTCTGAGAAACAGTTGGACTCAGTGGATGTAGGTACCAAGGGAGAGGCCTTCTCTGGGGTCAGGGTACCACTCTTACCCTGCTTTTTTAGCTTAGGCCTGGAAGCCCCTTGGTGATTTTAGCCAGGAGTGACCTGGGACCAATCTACCCAATGCCCACTTACTTTATGCAGAGGGCCTCAGGGACTGATTGGCAAAGGAGATTTGCCCGGCCCTTAATTAAAGAAAGGCAGCCAACTTTGAGGAATGAAGAGTCAATATCCAGAGTAAGGGCTAGGAGCTGCCACAGGTTATTTTAATTTAATTTTTTTTTTTTTTTTTGAGGGGGAATGGGGTGGGAGATGGGGGGTTTGCAGCTTTGGATTTTCTGCCCCTGCTTGCAGTGCCAGCAGCAGGACCAATGTGTTTGCTAGGCTCTTTTAGCAGTAACAAAATGCACTGTGAAATACTATGATTATTTTAAAACATTTACCAGGGAAAATGTAAAAAACATGTAAACACTAGAAGAATAGTAGTTGGAATCTCACAGCTCTTATTCTAATATTCTTACTCTCTGCAATGGCTAATTATTACACTGTCAGAGGTCTGAAGGCTGGACCCCCAACAGTAAACAGGACTGCAAAGAAACTGCTGCGTAGACCAGGGTGGAGCAGGAGAGAAAAGTCACTGTTGCTTTGCCCCAAGAGAAGGCAGGAGGATGGGAAATGCAGGACCAAGGCCCTGGCCTCTGCAAGCCCAGGGCCAAGGCCACGGGTGAACATCAGATTCTGCAGGGATGCAGAAGGTACCTGTGTTTTGGCTTCTTTGAGTGGATGCCAAGAGAAGGGAGCTCTGGGTTTGTTATGGTACTCTAGTAGGTACCTAGGGAAGCTAGGTGTAAAAGCTGGCTACAATACCCAGGAATGATTTGTAAGTCAAAGGAGATGGCTGGGAGACTGCCTGGGATTGGTGAATGGCTCCTGGAGCCACCAGGGCCACACCACACATGTGGCATCTGCTGGGACATTTTAGGGTTGTGGGCACAGTTGGGACCATTTATTCTGGGAGAAGGGTACAAAACTATGGGAATCTACCCTGGAGATACTACAGCCTATCCCCTACATATGAAGAGTGAAGAGGTCTTGGGGGAGAGGACCCAGAAAAGAATAGACTCCAGAGGCCAGCCAGGGAGAGGATTTATTCAGAGGATGGTCAATAATTTGGGAAGGAAGTCACAGAATGCAGAGCAAGGAGATGAGAAAGTGGCTGAGAAAATATATCTATGTGGAAGGCCTTATTTCCAGAGACCTGGGTTTGGGGCTATGCTAACAAATAGTTTGTTGCTTTTCCTTACCTCCTTCCTCTCCTTGGGGCTATGCTAACAAATAGTTTGCTGCTTTTCCTCACCTCCTTCCTCTCCTTGGAAATGATAATGGGAGAGTCTAAGGATGATGGTGGAGTTACTGTCCCTTAGTTCTCAGGCTCCCACCAGGAGTTGCAGAGGAAGTTGTAAGCTGCTTGGAAATCAAGACCTGTGGGGTTGAACTGGTCCTCCAGCCTGCAGTGGACCGGAGGATGGGTCTGTGAAACAGAGGAGAGGGGAGTCTCTGGGCAGAAGAGTGCTAGAGCAGAAGTCCTGGCTTCAAGGCACACTGGGAGTCAGAGGGATTGAAAAATTGCATCAGGAGCCCGGTGTTTCTTACAGCCAGCTGAGACACTCCTCCAGAGTGGAAAAAGATAATTTCCACTGGAGAGATGGAGAACAATGAAAAGATAACTTTGACTTTCCCAGCTTACAGAAACAGTTCTTATCCCTGTCCTTTCTAAATTTTCTGTTTGGAGGAAATTAGCAAACAGCCCTCAACTTACTCTTTCAATATTAGCTTCTTAAATTTTGCAAAAATTTAAATTACAATGTGGTCCCAGTGTAGCGAAGAGGAACTGAGCTGGGCCCAAAGTGAGTGCTTCCTCCTGAACTACCCCACTCCCCATCAGCATCCCAGCTCCACCCCTGATGTTGAGATTCATTCTATTTTTCTTTCAATAGAAGGATTTATTTTCCCTTTTAGCTGATTCTCCTGACCCAGTATACTTCTCATAACTTCTGGGCTCTTTAACACCGCTAGGAATCCAGTGGTGAAGGTGGAAGTTCGGTGTGTGAATGGGGGTGATGGCAGAACAGGGATACCAGGGAGAGGAAAGAGGAACCGGTCATAAAAAGACGCAGACCTACCCCTAGAAGGACAGTTCATCTCGCTTTTATTTCTTAATCTCAACTTCTGCAAACTGTTAAAAAAAAAAAAAAAAAAAAGCGCCTGCCTTCCACGTTCCCAACCCCTAAATTAGTGAAACCAGATTGTCCTAATAGGACCTTTTGTTGGAAACACATGTAGTCATAAAAAGGTAGACGGAGAGTCAATTAGACACGCGCGCGCGCACACGCACACACTCACAAGCCGCCGCTAAGTGTGCACCGGGCGCAGCTGGGCCCCGGGCCTGGCGGGATGCAAATGTACCACAGCGGCGCGGGAAATCGATTTGTCACAAAGGGAGAGGTGCAAACGCGGCGCGAAGGCCTACCCTCGCAATCCACCAGCCGCACTCCAGCGGGCCCAGCTTTCCCAACTCCTCCTCGCCCGAGGAACGCCCAGGAGAGAGGGAACATTTTCTGGGGCGCTCCCCGGTTGAATTCGTATCAAAATAATATCAGTTCCCCCTGTGTCTCAGCATTCGCGATAGTTATGGCGCCCGAAATGACTTAAGCGGCACCACCCTGGGACCTCCGGTGCTGACACTCTGAATTTGAATTTTGCTCTCAATTAATTCAAGAGGGGAGCCAATTAAATAGATCGTCTTTAGGGTAGCCAGGAAATTTTTCTTTTTAGAGGGGAGGAAGGTGAAACCCAGAATCAACGGCGGTCACTGAGCCCTCTAAGCCGAATGCGAAGGCCGGTGGTGAATGTTAATTTTGCATGCAGGGGCAGGGGGCTGAGTGTCCTCCTCTTAAACTGTTGGATGAATGGATAGTTCAGTGACTCTCGCCCGCTTTCGGGCCACAGGCAGAAGACTTGGAGTTTGAGGTGTCAGGGAAATGGGCCAGTAAAGTCCAAGGCGCCAGGCTGCCAATGCCCCCGGGGCTGCAGATCTCCAGCTCTGCAGACCATGGGTCACCGTCCCCGCCGTGTATTTCGCCGGTGAAACCCTTTCCGCGGCTCGGAGCCTTTCTCCGTGCCTTGGATGCCCTGCGATCTTGCGTTTTGTTTCCCGACCTTATACTGGTGCACTCCATCCGAGTGTGGGGCCTCAGGCAGGTAGCGATGTGTCACACCAACCAGTCCGCTCTCCTTCCTTCCTCTTCCCAGGGGCGTCATTTTAGATTTTACAACACGAGTGCGTAAATCATCTCTAAACCAACAAGATGTCACCCCCCTCATGCCCTCTGCAAAATGGATCTTTTTATCAGAAGCAGCAGTGCATTTCTATTTCACCGACCCAGACCCGCTAGTTTTGACCCCTGCTCCGGGACAGCAGTCACCTTTGGCACTAAATGACAGCTGTAGATTTTCAACTGCGAGTATCTCTAGATCATTTTGATTTTTCATTTTAAAAAGTATGTTTATTTTACAACCTTCTTTACCCTGTTTACCTGCTAGCTCTATTAGCTGGGCCTCACCAAACCAGATCCCTAGCCCGGGGAGAGCGAACCCGGTTGTTGCAAAAGTCTTACTGCAGGATGCGTTGCGGGTTCCACCCTCGCCCCCCACCCCCATATGTCTCCAGCCCCTGGAGGTGCCCACTTTCTACCGCGTTTGGAATATGCATTTTCTTTTAACC